TGAAATGCCTGAAGTATGCTGAACGTATTGCAAGCTGTCACAGGTAACGTACTGCAAGCTATCATAGATTATGTGCTCCAGGGTTCCTTTACGTGCGTTCCTCCAGGCGTGTCCGGTGGAGCTAGACGAGGCCAACGCAGTGCACGTATGCACTAATGTCCCTCTAAGAAAGCTGGGTATAACCATGGAAGAGCCAGTAAATCTCGTATTGCTCATACCTCTACTTGCCTCATTAATGGGGCAAAGTGCTTTGCTGGTCTGAGGCATTTATTTGTCGATATCTGGTGTTGCTTTTGGCTACATGGCTTGTATTGTTCGTATGCAATTTACCTCAGCCTTGCTGCAAAATACGGAGATTTTAGTTCCAACCTGATAAATAACTGTGTCAGCAGAATAATTGAATTGTGTATATATTTCCTAACCTAAATATTATTTATTTATTTGATAGCTCTCTGTGGTTTTTAAAATTATTTGAGCTTTGTGACTCAGGAAAATACCTTTGAATTTATGAAGCCCCTAAGCATATGCTTGACTTAAGCCTCGTGCTTATAATCAAGTATGTGTTGTTGAGGTGTTGTCCTGAATCTAGGACTTAATTTCTAGCAGACTTATTTATGTGAACAGAAAGGCGTATTTTAAGAGGAGAAAGAAGTGATAAGTCATCAGCTAGTTCCAAAAACCCTGAGCTAATTTGCATGAGAAAGATGTGAGGCTCTCTGTATTGTTATATGAGAGAAGGTAGAGACCCATACATTTATCTAGCATAACACTCCTTATCCTCAAAACTTCGTGAAGTTTTATTCTCCCATTGTTTGTCACAAAATCCCCTAAAGCTACAGACACGTCTGTCTTTGTCCCAGAAAATTCCTTTGAAACTTGAATTGAGCTTAAGCACGTATAGAATCGCGGTTTTCTCCTCACTTGAAAAATGCCTATCCCATGGGTTCATGGCACTGCAAAGAAAAAACAACTTGTATTCCTGCACAGGCAACGCCAAGGGCTTGCTGCACAGAAAACTAATCAGAACCATTCCCGCAATACATCTTTCCAAGCACAGCACGTGGATTAAGAGATTCATTTTTACTCCCCCAGGGGTTTGGAATACAGTCCCTTAGTTCCAAGAGGGAGCAGAACCAGACCCCTTGAGCATCTCCCCTGATTTCTTTCTGTTCCCAAACCATCTGCTTCTCTGTGGTAATAGTCTTCTGCTGTTCGTTAACCTAGTTAATCCTCTAGCATAAGCATTAGTAATTTATGCTGGATGTTTGGGTTTCACATGGTACTAATGGTATCTAATGAACTGTGGCTACAGAAACATCTGTTCTATACAATAGTTAATTTTTTTCTTCTTTTAATCCTGGTGATTAGATACTAAAAAAATAGTTAGGAGCTCTTTAGGCTGCAGAGATTAGACCTCAAAACCTGAGTACTGAAATAGGCCAGATTTAAGATTACTCATGCAACCTCAGTTTAGCCCCCACTTGTTTATGCATTGTTGGATATTGATGCGTGTTACTCCTTGATGCTTTTCACAGAATGCTTGCCAAATGAAAAGGGGACTGAAGGAAGGTTGGGTGGGACACTTGTAAGACTGATGTATCCTCATTTAAGCATACGACTAGAAGCTAGAGAACATATCTTTATTTCATTTTGTATGTAATATTTATGTGATGCAATTGAGTAATATGGCAGAAGAATCTATGCAAGAATTCATTTACTGGTAAGAAAACTGCAAAAGTTGAAACTAAGCTATTAATATTAATGAAGGCTATGCTCCAGAATAACATTGAGTGAGAAATGGGATATGCTAAAAACAAACAGTAATATACTGTTTGTACTTAACAAGGAAAGTAAGAAGAGAAAAGTGCTACTTAATTATAGTGTTGCAGAGTTAATAATGCAGTAGAAAACTTAGCTCTTTCTAATTTGAGTGCTTAATTTCTCAGTCTTAATGTTGCAGTAATGCGGTTTCCAGATTTAATTTCCTTACATTTATTTGTTTTTAGCAACTCAGAAGGCAAATAAGAGAAACACATTGTGAAACCCCAGTAATGAGATCTTAGTGCTACTAACGTGCCTTACATTTTCTATAAAGTCGCTGATTGCATTTGGAGTCACCTCAGCAGTGCTAAATCATTTCAACAGTTTACTCTTACCTCCAGTGTCATTAAAGTTCTCCGAGTTTAGGAAATGCATTTGAAAAAAACAGAACAAAAAACCTCATGTTCCTGTATGAAAATGTCACCTCATAACATCCATAGCTTTAAAAATAAAAACCAGATTTTCTTCAGGCGTGAACCCTTTATCCTTCCCCTGTGGGACTCTAAAGGAGCTATTTAAACTCTTGCGATCGTGCAGTTAAAGGCTGGGCTGACTCAGCAAAATGTTTAACTACGTGTTTAAATTCTATTGTGATCAATAGAATTTGAGCATGTGCTTAAATATTAGGTTGAAAAGAGATGGATTTACACACGTGTTTTAAAGCTAAGCATGAACCAAAGTAGGCCCATAATACATCGAAGCAAGTCGGAAGAATTCTGGTTGTAAAAGCCCTACCTTTGGGGTGGCTGACTTCATAAGTAAAATATTTTGATACAATTTTTATATATAATCTAAAATATAAAGCACAATGCTGTAGTTGTTATGCTCTGCGAATTAGCTAACATAGGATAGTTCATATGTCTGTCAGTTTAAAATACGTACGCCAAAGTTAAAAATGCTTGCAGCTAAATATCTGAATGTACATTTTCTGCTCTTGAAAACAGTTTGCTTTTATATAGTTACTGAAGTATTTGAAGTCAGTTAGAGCTGTGAATGCTATCTTTAAAAATGCAGCTGCATATAGAAGAAGTTTTAAACACGTATGGGTACCTAATACCAGGATCCCACACTCCAGCATTTTCCGTGTTCTGACCTGTTTTTAACTTATTCCTCCAGTGTTTCCCTGTAATACGAGACTTGATTATTTTGAGGCGCTGAATCGCTAAACAGGGTCATGTTCTGGTTGGCTCAAGGGCATAAGCAGTTCAACTTTTTTATTTACTTCTGTCTGTAAAAAGCTTTTTCTGCATTAGAGAAGATTTCTATTTCTACTGGTGATCTCCCTTGCACTCGTGTTAAACGTCTTCTGCCCTGCACCCTCAAAGTGACACATATTTCCCACAAAACATTTGGGTAATTTTGCTTTCAAGAGAAAAATGTTCGCAGTACCGAGTTGTTGGCTGTCAATAGTACGATGGTACGTGTGATGTTCCTCCCCTGCCTTGCGCTGTAACACGCTACCCCTCGCTGGGCTGCCGCCACCCATGGCCTTGCCCCTTGCAGAGTTGGGCGTACGCTGTCTGCAGAGCTTCGCCACTTGGGGGTACAGAAGAGAGAAGTCAAGGAGAAGGGGATGTATAGCGGTACTAGGTGCTAACTTGAGGATCCTGTTTTTTTTTTGGACAGATCCTAACTCTCCACAGGACCCAAGTCATTTGGCACCCGGAGGAAGCAAAGGGTTTGGATGGTGGTGGAGATTGAGCCACAGACCTCCCAGGTGCCATCGAGTGTCCAAACATCACGGGAATGTCACAGTACTTTGTTACTGTTAATCTTTTCTTCATTAACACAGTTGTGAGAAGTTTAAAAAAAAAAAAAATTGCCCTTGACTACAATCTGTCCATGTTAGCTGAGGAGCGGACCTTTGCCAAAAGGCAGAACCGAGCCTCAGGTACTGGGTAGATTCTTGAAGTCTTCACTAGCAAATGGTGCTAGAGATAGTTGAGAATTCGGTGGATTTCTGGAAAGCTCTGAGATGACCTCTGTGTTGGCCTCTTGATTACAGTGAGGAATCACGTCCCTGTGGCTGCTGTTGCTCCCCGAGAGCAGGGACATGGAAGGGGACTCAGAATTTTGGTAGGTGAGTGGTCAGGCTGCTGTATCATATATGTAGGTAGTGACGGGCTTTGATCACCTGTATAACAAGTGCTCTGAGGCAGAGCAGGACCCGGGGAAGCACAGTACCATCTGCAACAGTGAAATGAAACTTATCTCCGTGTAGATATATTAATCAGCAAACAAGATATGCAACTTTTGAAATATCATTATGAAAAATAAACTTCACATAGCATGCGTGAAACCTGCCAAGGCACAGAGGAGCAGGATGCTGTCGTCTGATACGCCATCAAAAGCTGCTCGTCTGAAAGCATGTCGTCTTGTAACACTGAGAAAGACGCTGTGCAAATTGCCTGATGCTTCTAAAAATAAGTGCAAGATGCTCAGCCCCTCTCCAAATTTTAGCAAGTCAACCAAATAGTGCATAGTTGGTAACCGTGCCTAACATGCCGTGCCACAACTGGTGACTTACTATAAGAATTTTATCAAGGATGCTAAATATGGAAGGGCTGCTTATAACTGCACGCACAGAACCCAGTC